GGAGTTGTTGCGGCCGGAGGTGTTGAGGGGCCATCTTGCTTCAGGCGGCGAGGGCGACGGATTTGGAGGGGGTTGTTGCTGCTGGGGAGGGGGGGAGGGTTGCCTGGCCTGAGGTGGATGCTGCTGTGCGGAGGTGCATTGCGAGGCATCACACGGGGTTGGATGCTTCGGTGGGGGTTGGGCTTGGGGCGGATATCGAGTTTGAGATCCCGGGCGTCAATGGGGGAAAAAAGACCAAGGCGACCTGGGTCCGGCGGGCGTATGTCGCGAATGACGGTGCCATGTGTTTGCTGCCGAGAAGGGGGCGACGAAGGGGGATAGGGACTGGGAGATTTGGCTGGCGCTGAGGGAGGAGGACATGCGAGTTGTAGAGGCAGAGGGGGAGCTGGGGGACTGGTTGTCGCGCCCAGCTGCTTGATGCCAGATGGAATGCTCCCCGCGGGCTGGCAATAGCCTCATGAGTTGATGATGGCGCTGGGCGCTGCTCTCCGGGCGTTCATATCACAAAATGCGTACCAGTCTAGCACGCCAGACCCGTAACGTATGTTAACCTGTATTGTTTGTGAATCTGCGCAGCATGTGTTGTTCCAGTCCGCGAAGCATCATACCAATAAACCTGAAGATGCCAAAAGTTGCCAGTGGTGGCCCATAACCTTATGTTATCCCTGCATCGATCAAACAAACTCGCCGAAAGTGAATGATTGTATCCTTCAATAAAACCTAACAATCCAAATAGCATACCAATATTGTCGGAACATCTACGCCAGAGTTACGTCCTCGCAGGGGGACGTGACGGAGGGCAGGGGGGGGTCCACCACTGGGGCAGTCGTCACGTGGTCCTGGACCTCGGGGACGACAACCCCGGCTGCAAAATCTGAGCCCCCCTCATTTCTAGAGAGAAGAACATGATCCAATTGAACCACGAATGTAGCACGTCCCTCCAGAGAGAAGGGATTTGCCCTGTGCTTCTAACGCTATCGCGATACCTGGTATTCCCTACACTGATCAGTGGTTAATTATACCACTGTTAGACAGCTCCCGCCACAGATCAGCAAGGTTTCCAGAAGAGACGGAATTGTCGGAGAGGTTCTACCGGAGTAGTGACTTCTTCAACAAAACCGTGCTAAGGAGCATTCTCGACACCTTTACTTGGACTCAGTCAAAAGGAAGGAACACGAGAGGCTCAATCCTACAGTTCGGACTCAGGACGCACTGAAGGAACGTCCATCACGCATTCCCCGCTCGCCAAGATCCTCGCGAGCTGCTGGCAACCGCCGCAAAACCAAACATCAAATCCACTTTCCAAAGAGGTAACAATGCCTCAGACAACATCGTCACCAGAGGAACTGGACCCGGGCTCGTCAACGCCAGAGGAACAGCCAAACCGGAGGGAACCCGCTTACACCGCCAATCCCCCAGCACATCCTGTCCTTCGTGGATCACTCCACATGGGGAGACCTCGCGGCCATCGACGAGATCGAGGAGCCCACGCCCAAGCAGATGAACTCCCACATCTATTTCCTCATGGAAATTTTCTGGGCTTCTACGAGCTACGCAGGACGAAAGCTCTGGGGCGCATTCAAGGACGAATTCGACGAATGGACCGCCCAACGATGGGACATGGTTCCCGACCGTACCCGAAAGCACCTCCGCGCCTTCCTGAGCACCAACGGCGTGTATGTCGACAATACCAACACCCCCCTACCAGCAAAGTTCGAAGCCATCGCCAAGAGAACGACTTTCCGCACCTGGTCCATCGAAGAGATCAACACTGCGAGGGTCCACAGTACGATGCACCAGGAGTTACTGGAAAACCCCAAGTTCATCCAAAGCATCCAGGATCTCTCCCAATTGACGCCAACGACCCCGACAGCCCCAGCAACCGCCTCACCGGTCCTAGCGACCATCCCGACACAACCACAGGCCTCTCAGCAAATCCCACAAGCAATCCCGGCGCCACGACAACAAAACCCCATTCCCCAGACGGCACCGAAACGGGAAGCAGATTGGGAAACAACCTCGGAAACTAGACAAGACCCCCAGACCTGGCCCCGCCCGTCCGAGGAACCGTACTACGCACCGCGAGGAAATGCTAAACACCTCGCAGATTTAGCCAAGTTGTACAGCGACGACATGAAGTACGGCGGCGGAGACTACGACATTCTCGACACAAAAATGGCGATTTTCCGAGATTTGTGTAATCGAATCCAAATTCCAAGATGGCAAGCCAGTGACGCTTTTCCGATCATGCTCAAGGACCGAGCCTTACGATACTATTACGACTGGCTTTGCAGCGGCCCCCGGGACTTCGATACCATGGTAGCCAAGATCAGAGGATACTTCGAGAACGAAGAGCAGCGGCACCGGTATCTGGCAGCATGGCGCGACGCTAGATTAATCAACATGCAGGCCGAGCACCCCGACAAGTCCAAATCCGAGTGCCTGGAACTTCTGATCAACAGGCTTGCCCTGATTCAACGCGCAGTACCGGCAATTGGCCAGACAGAGGATACACTGCGCATGCAACTCTTGAACGCATGCCGTGGTGTTGCCGAGGCCAGGATGGCCCTCTTCAACCCGGCGCCAACCTTCGAAGGCGTCCGCAACCAGCTGCAAGCGGCGATTGGAATCACCACCGAAAATCCCGGACCTCAACAGTTCAACACCGACGCCACTGACTCGGAGACGTTCTGGACGGACAGGACGTACAGAGGATCCGGCAGAGAATCTAGATTTGGTCGCAACCAAGGAGGACCACGCCGAGGAGGATTCAGCAACTCCAAATTCAGTCGACCCCCCACCGAGAGGAAGTGCTTCGTGTGCGGCAAACCCGGCTGCTGGTCAACAACTCACCCAATCGAAGACAGGAAGAAGTCCTACGAAAGGTTCAAGGCTGACAAGGACGCACGCGACGGGTCAATAGCAGCCTTTGCCCAGTTTATCTACTGGCATGAGGGATCTGAACTCGAAGCCGATTACGAAGATAACCCCGTCAGCCAATTCTTCCATAAATACGACGATCACGACGACGATACTATCGACAACAGAGGAAAATTCCACAGCACCTTCTTCAACGATTCCGCACCTGCAGATGCGATTCAGGTTACGACACTCCTGGCAAACGCGGCCACCCACCACTTCCTAACGAAGGAAGACCCCTTTCAAGAGCAGGACCCCTCGGAGACTTACACCGCCGAGGGCCGGTATTCTGCAACAACTTTCAGGGGTATCATGCCCGACTCCGGAGCCGCACAATTCTCAACAGCCGGCCAACCGCAATTCCAGGCCCTGCAACGTCAACTCCCTTCAGCTACCCTGGACACAACAAGGGCCGGAGAAGCCATCGTCAAATTCGGCTATGGGACACCTAAGGCCTCCCTGGGAACAACAACAGTGCCCACACCCCTGGGAACGATCGATTTCCACGTGATGGAAACGGAGACCCCTTTCCTACTTTGCCTCAGGGATATGGACAGACTCGGCATCAAGTTCGACAACTTGAGGAACCTCCTACAACGAGGAGACGTCGAGGTTCCCGTTACACGGAAATGGGGACATCCCTGGCTTCAACTAACCCAGGAGGAAGCTCTGGTGTGCAGTTATCTCACCGACGGTGAACTGCGGCGACTACATCGACGATTCGGACACCCCTCTGTTGCGCGCCTTTACAAGCTCCTCAAGACTGCAGGACACCCAGTGGAGATCCAAGCCCTGGAGCTCATCGCCAAAGTGTGCCACCACTGCCAAATGCACTCCGCACGCCCAGCTCGCTTCAAATTCACCCTTCACGATGATTGCGAGTTCAACTACGAGGTCATCATGGATATCTTCTACGTGGAGGGCAACAAACCAGTTCTACACCTCGTCGACGCGGCCACAGCTTTCAACGCCGCGCGTTTCCTTCCAGACGTATCAACAAAGTACGTGTGGGAAGCATTGCGCCTTTGCTGGATTGACGTGTACCAAGGACCCCCTGACTACGTCGTTACCGATGCAGGGAAGCAATTCGCTTCCACAGAGTTCCGCCAGAACGCCAAGGAGATGGCGATTACCGTCAAGGAAGTCCCGATCGAAGCCCATAACAGCATCGGCAAGGTAGAACGGTACCATGCACCTGTACGACGTGCGTACGAAATCCTACGCAAAGAGGACCCCTCTGCAAGCCCAGAACTGTCTCTGCAAATGGCTGTCAAGGCTGTGAACGACACTGCAGGTCCCAACGGACTTGTGCCAACTCTGTTGGTATTTGGCGCCTACCCAAGGATGACACACAACTCTGCGCCATCGCCAACGCTACAACAACGCGCCCAGGCGATCAAGAAAGCCACAGACGCCGTCCGCAGGCTCCATGCTGAACGCAAGGTCCAGGAGGCCCGCACCACACGCAATGGTCCGGACACCTTACGCACCACGACCCTTCCACTGCAGTCACGTGTGAGAGTGTGGCGCGAGAAAAGCCGCCGATGGGAAGGACCTTTCACATTAATCGGTGTCCACGACGAAGACTGCATCGTGGAAACAAGCCGCGGCGCACAGAAGTTCCGCTCTACGGTGGTCAAGCCGTACTACGAGGACCCTGCTCAACAGGACGACCCTGCGAACCAGAAAGACACCGCAGAGAAACCAGCACCTGAAGTTCCGGACTCTCAACCAAGGAGCACGACCCCTCCTGGAAACGCCATCGAAGAAGAGCCAATCCTCGATTCGATAATTGTGGCCACTCATGCGCCCTTCCCTGGGGACGAAGACGAACTCCCAGACGACGGACCGCACAGGAACACTCGACCACGCAGAACCCACTTCGCCCACGCATTCCTCCGGGAGAGCGATGTTCGAGAGGACGAAATCTTCGAGATTTTCTTGTCAACGAAGGAACAAGCAGACGCCGCACTCGCAGTCCAGTTGCGCGCCGATGGCAAGGTCACTACACCCGGGGAACCTTTTGAGGAGTCTTCTAAACAAGAGATCGAGAGCCTTATTACCCGAGGCGTCTTCGAATTTGTCAAATACGACGAGGACTTACACGGCGACGCAGAGATCTTTAAGTCAAGGATCGTAAACGAAATTAAGGGCAAGACAACGGACAAGCCCTATGAGAAATCGAGGCTTGTGGTCCAAGGCTTCGGAGACGCAGGAAAGGAAGCCATCCTCACGCAGTCGCCAACAATCCAACGCGCAAGCCAACGCCTGATCCTCGCCATCGCGCCGTCACTTCAGAGACAGGGTTGTCTCCTTTGGCTGCGCGATATTACGCAAGCCTACGTGCAGTCGGAAAAGGCACTCCAGCGCAAGATTTTGGCATTTTTGCCCCAACAGATCAGGCACTTATACCCCGAGGGAACCGTGATGCGCGTGATCAAGCCGTTGTACGGGCTGGCAGAGGCAGGAACCTATTGGTGGGTCACATACCACAACCACCATTTGAAGAGGCTCCAGATGGCAACCTCTACGTACGACCCCTGCCTGTTGATCTCCTCCCCCGAGAACCCGGAATTTGCCTGCGTGGGGATGCAAACAGACGATACTCTGGGTCTGTCAACAGAGGCGTTCTCACAACGCGAGAACGATCAACTGAAAGGAGGCGTCATTCAGCGCCAAAGACAAGCAATTTCTCACCACCGCGGAACCCCTGGTTTTCAACGGCGGCATCGTTACACTCAACAAAAACGGTTCAATCACCCTGCGGCAGAATGGGTCAAGCCCAGAAGCTGCAATTGATCGACGCCAACGCGCCAGACGCCAAACAACAGTACGTTCAGCAACGGGCTCGCGGCGCGTACATCGCTTCAATTTGCCAACCCGAGGCCTGCTTTGATCTCTCCAGCGCAGCCCAACACCAAGAACCGACCCCTGACGATATCAAGACTCTTAACCGAAGGATCCAGTGGCAGATGGACTCACAGGACAGGGGACTCACGTTCTTACCCCTGAACCTGGAGACTGCAAGACTGTACGTCTTCGTTGACGGCTCTTTTGCCAACAACAGAGATTTCACCTCCCAGCTCGGGTTTGCGATCATCCTGGCCAACGAAGACGAGATCAACGATCGCCACGAGTTCTCCATTACAGGGAACCTCATCCACTTCAGCAGCACCAAGAGTAAGAGGGTTACCCGCAGCGTCCTAGCTTCCGAGGTTTACGGAATGGTGGCCGGCGTGGATATGGCTTACGCCCTGGCTTCAACATTACGCCAGATCACTGCCCACCTGAACCTTCCTGCCATCCCAACCATCGTCTGTACAGATTCTTACTCACTGTACGAATGTCTTGTGAAACTCGGGACTACGAAGGAAAAGCGGTTGATGATCGATATCATGGCACTGCGCCAGTCCTACGAGCGCAGAGAACTCCAGGAAGTGAGGTGGATCAATGGAGAGGACAATCTGGCGGACTCCTTCACAAAAACAACGCCGAATCGTGCCCTGGAGCGGTTTGTTGACTGCAATAGTGCAACTGTACGCGTGGAAGGATGGGTCTCACGTTAGGAGGCCTTTGGGGGACTACGAAGGGGATATTTGGGGACATGTACGTAATCCGAAAGCCCACCTGCGAACTCTGGCGTTTCCTGGCCTCAAAAGAAGAGACTGCCAGTGTCGGAACATCTACGCCAGAGTTACGTCCTCGCAGGGGGACGTGACGGAGGGCAGGGGGGGGTCCACCACTGGGGCAGTCGTCACGTGGTCCTGGACCTCGGGGACGACAACCCCGGCTGCAAAATCTGAGCCCCCCTCATTTCTAGAGAGAAGAACATGATCCAATTGAACCACGAATGTAGCACGTCCCTCCAGAGAGAAGGGATTTGCCCTGTGCTTCTAACGCTATCGCGATACCTGGTATTCCCTACAAATATCTATCGTTCCTACTAGGCCCATTGCCCCTTAAACCTCTTACCCTCGTGACGCTCCCGCCCCATCGCTTGAACTGAAAGCCTGAAACCGCGCGTCACTTTTACATTTCAAGCCAAGAAAGCCAGACCCTCAAACACAAACACAATCACACCTTGTCTGTAACCCGATCTTGTTAAAAAGGAGACTTCGTCGTTGGCATGTTGCAGCGCCTCCACACAAGAGTCCACTCCAGGGAAGTGGCGTTTACTCGGCCGGTTGGTACATGAACGGGGATTGCAAAGCTTGTAGTCGAAGCGAGGGCACTCGAGGTCGAGGACGAAGACGGCTCGGAGAAAGATGAGGACGACGAAGGCGACCCAGAGGCAGACGAGGTGGACGAGGACGGTTTCACGGTGCCCTCGCAGGCTGCTACCGATGACTCGGTGGATGGTTCAGCGGTTGAAGATGAGTCCGGTGCAGACGAAGGGGTTTCAATGGTTTCTTGGGATGCTGTTGATGTTGACGGGGACTCTGAAGGGCTGGCGAGCGTTGTTGACGATGGTAGGCACGACCAGATGGTAACATCCGAGTCCGTCGCCAGAACTGATGGGCCAGCGACAAGAAGTGTGGCTACCAAGAGCAGAACGCGTTGGAGAAACTTCATGGTTGTAAATGGGTAGTTTGGCTGCTGAAAAGCAAGTAGAGTAACTGAAGGCTGCATGCGTTTGGCAGGACGACGTGGGTTGAGACACGACGACATCAAAGGATAGCGAGAAATCCCATGTCATTTATCCACTTTCAGTGAATAGTTTCCGAGGTCTAAATTTAGTACATTTTTCGAGGGACGGGAGAGGTGGTATTACTCTAAAGTGTCCCAATATCTAACCTGCATTCCCCAGCTTCTGGCCCGGTAGCGACCACGAGAATACCCGGTTCAACACTGCTCTCTAGACCCGCGCCCAAATATTCCCGAGACCCGTGTGATTGTGGTTCCGGGTCGGCGAATCATGTATGAACCCACAAACATGAAGTGCGGCTCTAAACCATTTTGAACCGCATTGGGATTTCGTTCCGTGGTTGCTGTCGTAGGATTAGCAATGTTTCTATTTTAACTCTCCCTGCCAGTTCCGATGCCCAAAGGAGAGAGTATCATCACTTGTTCTCATCATCACACCATTGGGGTCCCTGGGATTGAATGGGTAGTATTACCCACCTGTCTCTCAATATGGCCTGTACCATATACCGTACCTAAGTCTCTAACCGCGGCCGCATAGTGGTTGCATTTTGGTGGCTTCGCGGAGAAAATAATAAGCTCACGGGTTTCTAAATTGCCATAGCATGGCGCCTTGTACTTAGGCGCCATCTCCTCCTAGATATAGAGCTTCTCCAACGAACCACGGCAAATGGACCGCTGGGTTTAACTGCACGGTTTACCCACCTCTTGGGTTCCTCGGTACCTAGGAACGTGAATATTATATCGAAACGCAGGAGAGCAAAGCACCGTGAGTCTTGGCTGGTGAAGGGCTGGTCAAAAACTGGCTGAACCATTGAATCACCAATTCTGGCCGCTGAGAGGCGCCAGTTCCCCACACGCGCAATCACGGGGCCGTATTCGCTCTCCAGAGAGACGGAGTGAATGACTAGCATAAAATTTGCGAATAGTACTACCCGAACTCCAACATAACGACATCGCCGCTACAGCGCGGACTTGCTTTCTGTTTTCTGCACCCCCAGCCGTAACCACAAATCTTCAAAGAAAAATGAAATCCCAACAACCAGCCAACAAGGAGGCATAAAACCATAGGTACCCTACCAGCAGAACAACACTCAGCCCCCTTCGCCTCGCCCCCCCGCCACCGCCCCATCACGCACAACCCAACAACAACTTTGGCGCCGCGCTCGACGGCTCATCCCGCGCAACCTCCTCCTTGGGCGGCTCCTCCTCGTCGACATACTCGGTGTCACCGGCGGGCCGGCTGGCCATCCAGCGCAGCAGCAGAAAGGCGTCGGGCGGCGGGGTCGGCCCGCGCAGGTCTAGCTGGCGTGATTGCCGTAGCACTAGCTTGTGGGTCTTGCTGTCGAGGTGTACCTGGGTAATGCGTGCCCATTGGTCGCGCTCTAGGGTGTAGATGAGGCCCTGCGGGATGGGGGAAAGGGGGGTGGTTAGTTGTTTGGTGGTTTTTGTGGTGGGTTTTGTTTCGGAGGGGTGACGGGGGTTGGTGGGAATTACCGGTTTGGTGTGGTGTCCGGTGTGTTGGCTCTGCTCGAGCCGGAAGTGGACGAGCGAGATGGCATAGTCAACCTCGCTGTGGAGGACCTTGTCGCCTGGTGAAGGATTGGAATCGATAGTCAGGCAAGCGACGTGGGGTTTGGTCTTGTCGACGGGGAAGTAGGCCGCTCCCGGGAAGTATTGGCGGTTTATAGGCTCTTTGGTCGACGGATCAAGGATCTGAATTTCGTTGAACCCCAGATTGAGCCCGGTCCCGCGTCTAATAGTGAAGGAGTCGACCCTGATCATGTCAGCATGCGATGGGGTACACATGCATACACATGCACATAACAACACGGGACAGCTTACACCCAGGGTTCCCACAACTCTGTATCCATCTCGTAAAGTTCCTCGAGGCAGTATCTGAACCACTTGGCCTTGAGCTCTCCATACTTCGCTTCCGGCTGCCCATACCGCGATTCTTTGAGCTTGTCCATCCATGTCCGCGGCGATCGGTTCGAAGCAACTTCGTGGAGGGCTTCATCCGGCACCCATGGCTCAAAGAAGCACGTAGCAGAATCCCAGACGTTACCGTTGTCGTCAACATCGAGCGAAGGGCCGAGAACGATACCCAGAGAATCCAGATTCGCCTGGTTAACGACACGCGTATCCATCGACTCGAGCTCCTCTTTCATGCGCGAAAGCTTGTGCAGCTGCTCTTGTTCCATCGCAACCCGACGGAGATCCTCCGCGGTTGCCGGCGATAACGTGGCCGGCATCACAGAAGTTGATGTGTGGCGCCTAAAAGTGTGGTGTATAGGTAGGTATGTGTGGGGACCGGGAACGAAAAAGGGGTGCACAGGTACGACCGAGGAGAGAGGCGTTTTGTGGGCTTTATGGACTTGGAGGTTCTACGAAGCAATGTTGTTTAAGCAATGTTGTTTTTGTTTAGAATATTATCGGCTGCCTCACAGGCGACCCCGGCCAACCGAGCGAATCAGGCCTTGCAGCAGAACTGTGATTGGGCGTGTGGGTCGGATCTCACACACACACACACACACACACACACTTTGGGTGCCTAGCTGAGGCCAAGAACTCCGCATAAAACTTCCAAGATTGGTCGGTGCATAACATGTTGATTTTTCATCCACCATGCTGCTGCTGCTGCCAACGTTCGTCTTAGTAATAATACCACCAGACGCCCGGAACCCCATCTCTTTCTCGAACCTTCCAGGAAGGATCGGATTGGCGATGCAGGCAACTCTTCCATTCGTACCAAGCCCAGAGAAGCTCCGTGGGACCGAGCCTGAACCAGCCTCGAAATCCAGGAGGAGAAAATTGACTCTCGTCTCGGGTCATATACCCCGTATCCAGCATCCAAAGCCACGCTTTCTTACCCATGCGCAGGTATTTGAGCCATTCTTCCCTATCCACTGCCGTCCTCAGCGGGGGCGTCTCATCGGGTAGTTCCTCGATCAGCGAACGCAAGCACTCCTCGTCAACCACAAGGACATTGCGAAATCTCGGGTCGTCATGGCTCTCGTTGGGCTCAAGGGCGGGATCAAGATCTGGATCGCCGTCGTTGTCGTCCTCGTCATGATTCGACGGAAGGTCTGGCTGCACGCCCACGCTAACCAACCACTCCCGGAAGTAGTCCCTGAGCTTGGCGAAACCCTCGGCGTCCGACTGAATCCCCGCAAGCCTGTCCTTGTCCTCTATCACGTCGCAATATAACCTCTTTGCCAATTCCTCGTTGGGCTCCCCGTCGGTCACGGCCTTGCTTTCATACGCCTGTCCGTATTTCGGAAACCTGCCCTGGCGGGGGCTATAGCATGCCCACGCGTCCAGCCGTCGCATGGCGATGGGGAATAGAGGGTCCGATTCGGGCGTGTAGACTGCCCGCAGGATGGTGAATCCCCACAGGTGCTGGGCGTAGGTCGTGTGGCGGCTAGCTCCAAGGGCCTCGAGGCGGCGGGCGGTTTCGTTGTCGCGCGTTTTGGGCCGGCGCGGATAGAAGAGCGACCTGGGAACCGGGGGAAAGGCTGGAGCCGCCATTTTTTGGGAGAAGTAGATTTGAGGGTGAGCTACATTTGCTTACCCGGCCCATTTAAAGCGGCCGGAGCCTGGGCGGAACCAACCGCGCAAGAGTGGACTGTTTTTCTGGGATCTGGGTGTGGCCTGGGATCCGGGTGTGGCCTGGGACTCTGGGTGTGGCACGGGATCCGGGTATATGGCCCGGAGCCAGGCTTCTGTTAGACTACCCCGTTGCCTTCAGGGGCCGCACTCCTGTAGGGATCCACCACTGGGGCAGTCGTCACGTGGTCCTGGACCTCGGGGACGACAACCCCGGCTGCAAAATCCCCCCCCCCCTCATTTCCAGATAGAAGAACATGATCCAACTGAACCACGAATGTAGCACGTCCTCCAGAGAGAAGGGATTTGCCCTGTGCTTCTAACGCTATCGCGATACCTGGTATTCCCTACATTATCTTAGTAAATCACACCAGCGGCGCGGTCTATTCGCTTCAGTTGGGATATCTTTCATCACTCTCCAGTATGGCCCCTAATTATCAATGGCTCAAACGCAAGCTTCAATCGAGCAAAGACGAGATTCCACCACCGCCCTACCGCGACGAATGGTTCATCATGCCATCATCAGCCCCGGTGAATTCTATACCCTCAAATTACGGCCTTTTTCAGACCTTACCATTGGAGATCCGACAGCAGATCCTAAGCCACGCATTCGGAAACAGAACTTTGCATGTTGACTTGACTTTTGACCATCCCCTCATTCGCAAAGGTAGCAGATTCTGGGACCCCTCGCAATACAAAAAGACCATTAGGTCTGCTTTACTTTCCCATCGAGCGCCCTCAAACGCGGCAGTCGGGCTCACTCATTGCGGATTTGGGACAGATCTCATCCACGATACCTGGCAGCCAAAACAATGGCAGTGGTTCAGTTGCGTGTGCCATCGCCGCGCAGTCCGCGTGAAAGAAGATGATGGACCGCCGACACGGCAGCCTAGAATCGAACCCCACGAGGATGGCTGCATTCCCCACGAGCCCGTTGATAAGAGGATCCCTTTGCCCAAGCCCCCAACCTTTTGTTGGTGTGAATCCACCGACCCCAATCCGCCACCGGTCGATTCGTGTTTTGTCGGTGCCATGGGATGGTTGTTGGCGTGTCGACAAGCGTGTGTTACGGCCTCTTACCTCCTTAATGACTCCCTACTTCGCTGACACGTTCCCGAAGGTACCGCGAAGGAACCGATATCCTGTATCGCACCAACACATTCCACTTCTCCAGCCTCCCTCTGCTTCTCGACCTCCCCCGTCTTATGCCACCAACCCACCTCGCCGCCATCACTTCCGCCGAGCTGCTCTGGACCTTCACCAACCCCCACGTCTTCAGGGATAAAACTATGAAGCGACTCTGGCAGAGTTACATCCATTCCCCGAACCCCAGCTCCTTTCCAGACCTCTCCTCTCCCACCAACGACCTCCACCGCCTCGCCGCCCAACTCCCAACAACTCTCCCAAGCGTACGGCGTCTCTACATTGCATTACAAACACACATACCCCCAACGGAGACCAGCACCCTCCCCCTGATCACCACCCCCGCCACCGCCACCACCACCACCACAGAAACAGACACCAACCCCCCACCCATCCGAAACACGCGCGCCCTCACCGCCATCGAACACGTCATCCTCGGCCCCATCGAAACCGCCTTCCGCCGCCTGGGCCCAGCGCCTGGGAAAGAATTCAGCCTGGCCGTGCAGCGCGGCGGGTGGGAGGTGTTCGCGCGGTGGCTGGAGGGGCGCGCGCCCGGCGGAGACGGGACGCGGCGGATCTTTGAGGTTTTTAATGAGCGCGGCGAGGGGGGGGAGCAGGTGGTTTCGTATCGGGAGAGGGTGTGGAAGCCGCTTCCTGGTGGGGTGGGGGTGGGGGTGGAGGGGGAGGAGGGGGGTGGTAGGGTATTGGTTGTGTGCAGGGGTGGGATGATTTTGAGAGTTTGGGGCAGTGGTATTGGGAGTTTGATTTGTGGGGGACCAAGTTGGGTCGAGGTGAGGTGTGAGGGGGGCTGTTGAGGGTGGAAGTGGGCAGTTGGGGATGGGAGGGGGCATGGTACTTCTGTCGGTTGATGTCTATGTGCTGTAGTGGACAGGCGGCATTTACCCCCCTATCAGATGACACCGCTCGATACCTGTAGTAGTATTTGCGCCGTCAATTCATGGCTACACCAGTTCAATTCAACGCAGACGATTTAATCCCGATCATTTACGCCTGCTAGACAGGCACCTAGGAATCCGTCTCGGTATCGTTCAAGAACGACCACTCTGGCAGCTCCGATCCAAAGCAGCCCGTCATCCAAGGCAAGTTCGACACATAATTGAACGTCTGGCGCCCCGTGTCCGCCAACGACTTGATCAACGTGCCATCATCCAAATCAATCGCCCACGCCATAACTCCCCCTAGACACCGCTCATTGGCATACTTGACCTTCATGGCCAACGTCTCAGTGCTATCCCAGGATACCCATTGATCATTATCCCAAGTAACAATCTCGGCTGCCGCGGCACTGTCCAGCTTGACCGTGGCGCCATTCTTGATGATCTCGGTGATCTCGTGCGCCGACAGCACCCCCGGCGTGCCGGTGCACTCTCCGCCGCTGCCGCCCTCGCTGAACTCGCACCCGGCGTCCATGCACCCCGGATCTTTCATGGTAAAACTGCGCCCGTAGAACCCTAAACCCAGGTTGACGCGCTCTGGGTTGATGTTGTTGCGCCATAGCAGCTTCAACGCCTCCTCGATCTCCGTGAGGTTGGTGTGTGCACGGGCATAAGGGCCCAGTGACTGCACGGACGAGTCCCAGACACCATCTTCGGAGCGGTTAGTCAAAGGTTACCTTTACTAACCGATTGGATGGGTACTTACGGATGTCATATGTCATCACGTTGTAAAAGTCGACGTACGGCTCCAGACCGACAATGTCGAACCCGCGCAAATACCAATAGGACGCTGGGAGAGTAATCGAAACACCCTTGGGTGTACCGATTTGAGCAAGGCGCTGGCGCAGCCGTTTGAGGAATGTGACAAAGTTCTCAAAGTCTTCCTCAATGCCGCCGCGGTCGTCAGCTACCGGATACTCCCAGTCGATATCGACACCGTCGTAGTTGTACTTCATCATGAACGTCACCAAAGACTCAAAGAACTCGTCCTGAGCCGATTCGGATTTTGCCAGATCCGAAAAGGTCGTCCTGTACGGGCCCGGATCGTTCATTGCCCAACCACCGACAGCGATCCATACCTCCAGCCCCGGCTGGCGGGCCTTCAGGTCAGAGACGTCAGGGTACAGAGTGCCCGTCTTTTGGTCCATAGGTTCCAACCGGAAGGTGGTGGGGTTGATCAGCGAGAACGAAAAGAAGATATGGCTGTAGTACCCCAGCGGAATTTTGCTTGGTGTCATGGTGCCGCAAGGCCGCTGCCAGTTCCAGCCCTCGTAGTAGCCAATGGTTCGCCCGTTGGAGCTGTTCCGGCCGGGATCACACTGAGGAGCCGACACGACTTCGCCATTGCAGAAAGAAGGGGCAGTGCCGCAGAACCCATACTCGCTGCAGCAGACATTGAGAGGGCATGTTGAGGAGTTAGACCACTGCATTCCCCAGCCGGGATCGCACTCGCTCTTGTAGTGGCAAGTTGATGTGCATCCATCACCACAGAACTTGGGGCCTAGGCCACACACTCCGTTGCCTTCGTCGTCTCTGCAAAGTCTTGTCAGCCAAGGCACAAATGCTAGGTTTGACGGATAGCTCACAAGGGACCACAGCATCCCAATTCACACTTCTTGTCTTTGGTGCATGTGTAATCTGGTTCGGTATCCGCCAGAATTCGAAACGTCGATGATGATGGCCTGGGCCTGCTGGCATCAGCCTGGGCCTTGAATTCCTCCCTATGGCTCTTCGCCGCGAGAGTTGAGCCCGCCCAGAGCAGGATGCACCACACGGCGACCTTCATGATGAACCACAGGCAACAAGTTGGATGTGTTTAGGAAGACGGGGACGAAGATGGGGAGAGAGCGGCGATGTGCTATGGGCCCAGCATGAGATGCAAAAGCATGCCTTGACGGGGCAAAAGCTCGTGGAGTTTCTTGATGCCCTGACCGGTTTAGGGCGCTAGGAACCCGCCTCCTTCCGATGGCAGGCTAGGCATTGCTTGCAAATCCCTCCTATACGCCTCCCCTTATTTCCGCAATCGGCAGGACTTTGCCGGTGGTCAGCTCACCGACCGTGTCATCTCGGAGGTTGCGTTAGGATCTTACACGACTCATGTGATATTGAAAGATATTTCCCATCATCGCACGCTAACTGGGCACATTGCTGCCGGTCATCCGTAGTGGGTTCACGATCCATAGAGGAAGTATCGGTACGGAACCGCCGGCCCACTCGTTGCGGCGCAGACATTGTAACGTCGCACATCCTTCTTGATCCTCCCTGCATGTCAGCTCCACACGCGGACCCAGCCCTTGCTTAGCCGAGTACGCCGGATGGTAAATGCATCTAAGCGAGTAGATCCAGGGAGCTGATCACCACGATGGATTCATATTCGGACATAGGCATATTGTAGTGTTTCCTGGCCCGGCAGTATGGCAGCATGGGACTTACCCAGTTCACCACCACTTCCCCGTTCTCTCGTGGGCTACAGACCACAGGTCCTGTGAGCCTCGCCATCACTTGTCCTCACCATTTGTTAATCCTGTTCATACTATGCGGCTGTTGGTCCCTGTTCTTGTCGGCCTTGTGGCCCAGACGGGCCATGTCCTAGCTGGAAGCCGCGGATGGCAGCCCGAGGTCTCAAAATCCAGTCTTGATCGCCGCTACTATGTCATCAACACAGACCGTTCCGAAGGTGACCGGATGCCGTGGCCAAACCGCCAGATCCGCTACTGCTTTGTCGACGACGAGGCAGAACGAGCGCTCGACGACTTGATCGTAGCGGCGCACGACATCTGGCTGCGCAAGGGCTTGGGAAGCGAATTCACCATCTCCAAGGTTGGCAGAGCTGAGTGTACCGGCGACCACAGGTTCGACACCCTCATGGTCTATTGGAGCGGCGACAACGGCATGATGGCGACCTTTGAGGGTCTGCCGAACGCCGATTCCATCATTCGCAACTCGGAAAATCCCGAGGTCAGACCCAAGATGATCTTGACGACGAGCGTGCGCATGGGCATGCTCAACCAGGAGCAGAACTTTGCCCACGAGCTCGGCCACGCCTGGGGTCTGTACCACGAGCACCAGAATCCGGCCTTCTGGAGCAAGGGGACCATCAAGAATGCTCTCGGTGGCACTGTATTCGGTCCCGAAAACGGCGGCAACTGGCGCTGCGAAAATCTGAAGGATTACCAGGACCGTTTGGGCGGCGGTGGTCTGGTGGTGCAGAATCCGAACAATTACAACAACGGCGGCTTCGGGCCCCGGATCGGCGTTGAGGAACTGTGCAGGGACTATGACTTTGCGCGCAAGGGTCAGTTCAGCGCGAGAGACTACCTCCCCATGCCGAAGGCCATGGGTATCGCCACGTCGTCCGGCATGGGCGAAGATGACGTCGACTGGTCGTCTATCATGATCTGTACGTTTTACATCCGAAGCCCATCATCAGTCATTGCTACGGTACTTACTAACCCTTGCTAGATCCCTCGGGCGCCGGTGCCGTGGGCGAGGCTAGCCCGGGCAACGACCAGCGTTCGTATATCCTGACAAAGCCCAACGGCGACCCGATCCCCATCAATGATTCGCCTAGTCAGCGTGATATCGCGGCCATGCACAAGCTCTATGGGAGGAGCAAGTCTGCTAGGGCCAAGGATTTGCTGCAAAAGACTGGCGGCACGGTTACCTCCACTTTCAAGAAACTGTTCCCTGAGAGCGCGGGCAATGCGGATGGTTCTGGTTGTCTGTAGTCCATCGTTCGTGTAGCTCAGTTAGCAAGATATCAAGGTGGTAGATGTGGGACTTGGGCGTGAAGATTGAGAATGAAATATCGTTTCTCGAGTTTTGGCCGCGAAGGGCACAAGGGCTCTAGACATGAAGTGAGAGAATATCTACCTACCTACATATCTACCGCAGCGGGGTTCTATAGGGGGTAGCATGCCTTGTTGGGCCTGGAAATGTTTGCCCCAATTGATTTGCATATTTTTGCAACATGCCTTGCCACAGCAACATGCCGTGCCATATCAACATGCTTTGCCAGACCCGCCCACATTTTCCAAAAGAATTGGCAAACCCCCTACCCTATAGCGTTTCTGAAGCCCTCGATCAATTAGTTACAGGTATCAACCTCAACTTGAATATCAAATTACGGAACGAAGAGGAATGAGTGCAATCACGGAATCGAACAGAGGCACGCGCGAACAGGGAAAAAGTGATTTATTGAACTACTTGACCAAACTAGGTACGTTTAAATGACACGGTGCTCCTTCTTTCTGCGAGGATATATAGTTATCTCGAGTTGGAAGCTACGATGTTCCATTTGGTGGGGAGGGTGGCATAGCATGTTGCTATGGCATGGCATGTTGTTGTGGCAAGGCATGTTGACCCCGGTAAGGCATGCCACCAAGTTGATTTTCCCACTACGGTACCCACCTTACCTAGGCACTTAGTTCTTGGACAGAATCTTCGCCATTTACAAGAAGAATGTCTCTGTCACATACAGGTAGGTAGGTATTCGATTGTTCAGTCTGAGTGCTTCACAAAAATGACGCTTCTTGTCATAATGGGTGCTGAACATCCATGTACGACATTCCTCACAAGTGATACTCCTATCTCCCTGCATTACTGGCAAAGGTATCTACCAAACAGCTATCACCTATCCATTTGTTAATCATTGCCGCCACAGCCGTCGGTGTATCCGCCAGCCTCTCGCACCGCCTTGTTATTCTTGAAGCACCGCGAACGCACCCAGATGGGTGTGTTGAAGTCAGCCTGCCACTCGTTGCCATCCTCATCTGGCTCATCAAAGTACTTGAATCTCCACATGGTCAGACCGCCGCCGATACAGCTTCGGGCTTTGGGCTCCAGCGTGTCCTGGCCCCAGTCATTGGAAGCCCAGCCCTTGCCTTTGATGACATAGCTACTCCAGAAGCCGTGGTACCAGCCCTTACAGCTACCCCAGGCCTCCTTAGGCGGCGGGAACGGCCGGTTGTCACGCTTGGGGTTGACCTGGTATGTAAAACGGCCGCGCTGCCACTCGCCGCCAAACTTCCAGTCCATCGGGTTGTCCGAGTCGTTGCCGTCGCAGTTGTTGATGATGCCGCCGATGCTCTCCTTGCACTCGGCCTTGCTGAAGTCGCCGCTGCCGATGCCGCCCTTGTTGAGCGTCACCTTGAACTCGGTCTCGTCGGGCGTGTCCTTGCCGTACGTCTCCGAGTGCGACCACCCGTTGACCTCGTCCCCTTCGTCCACGCCGTCGCAGAAGTCGTCCTTCTGGTCGTTGAGGAAGGGCTCGTTGGCGTATGCCTTCCACCCCTCTTTTTGCCAGCACGTGAACTTGTCGACTGGCTCGCATGACGGTGCCGTAACGTCCAGGACCTCGGCGCGGAGGTCGATCAACGTCTGCAGCGCCCAGGAGGCGATTGTGTAGTGGCCTAGTTCGTTGGGGTGGAAGTTCTTGGCGATGGAGTTGGGCAACCCGATGCTGGGCGGCTGGATCTCAACGTCCTTGTCGCCAGGGCACTTGGGTGGGCTGGGGTTTCTACGGTCTAGGAGGTGCCTTGCCTCGGCTTGGGGGTTGGCCGAGTGGTAGAGAAGAGAGTTGTAGATGTCCTCTAGCGCACGGCGATGGCGCTCTCGCTCAACGACTTCGGCTGTCCAGAGGGTTTCGTTGCTGTGGATCTCGTACAGAGCATCTCTCCGCTTCAACTCGCTTCCACCTGTCCTCGTATCCGGCTTGAAGAACTGCAGATCTGGCTGCTTCGGATCCGGATACGCACCCGACGAGGATGGATCGCAGAACTGGCCCGCGACGCCCTTTCTCGGCCAAACATCCCAGTTGGAAAAGCCGATCTTGTACTTGTACTTGTCCTTGGCGTCGTCGACCACACCCTTGATCAAGTCGTTGATCTTAACCACAAGACTGTTGAACGTCTTGCGGCGGTCAATAGTGAGCTTCAGGCCATCGCTGCCGAGGAGGTTGAACAGGGTCCAGTCTTGGTTTTTTTCACAGTCATCAGTCTCCGTGTTAAACTTCGTTCATGTCAGTAAAAGAGTCAAGCAGATACAACGCCAGATCAGAGCTTACGAATTGAGCATAGCCGTTGAAAACAACGATGCTATCATCGTTCATCTTGTCTTCTAGGGCCTCGAGCAGTTGCTCCAAATTTGGCTTCAGGATGTTTTCCAAGTTGTTTTCGGCGATGGAAATGACATCCGTGCAGGCCTCTTCACCGTCAAACGGCCTGAAAACGCACTTTTCAATCATTGATGCCTGCCCCAGTCAGAATCTCGTTGCTTTGCTTCCGGGTTGATTAGCGTCTTACCAGGCAAAGATCGTTTCCTCCCGCGGTCATCACCACGAGATCCAGGTCTCCCTCCAGCTCCTGAATCTGCTTGTAGATACCTCCGGTTCTGTCGCCACTGCAAGCGACGAACTGGAAGTCCTCTACGGATTCCCCGAGAGCATCGTTGATGATCATGGGATAGGACGTGTCATATCGGGCGCAGTACCATGTGTTGTCATCGGGCGACTCGGTTAGGAAGTTACCCAGGGGTGACCCTGATCCGATTCCCGCCGTGAAGCTATCGCCAACAGCAGCCCATCGTTTAACCCAGCCAAAGTCGCTAGGGTCGTCATCGCGTGGACGGATCTTCGGTTGCAACGTACGCGAGGCGCTGGTATTGGCGACGCGGAAGACGGCAGCTTCAGTGGCAGGCCAAAGGGCATGAAGCCATCCTAGAACGAGAAGGCCCTTCATGGCGCACAACTTTGGTGCTGGGCAAGAAAGTTGATGGTACACAAGAAAAGGTGAGGAGATGGCGAAGCTGCATCGCCGGGTCTGGGAAAGTTTAGGTTTCTCCCTCAGAGATTCCCTCTTGGTGACTGACACAGGGTGCCAGATACCATGAACCCCGCTATAGTGGCTCTATGTTCATAGACGGGATGGCCGGCTGATGGAACGTGACTTACCGAGCGGACATAATTCCCGGGACGAGTCGGACGTATGATTCGTCTCACCTCATCCGATCCCACTCTGATCAGTCTGATGAGACGGTAAAAGAGCCTGGGGACGGATATGCGGAAAAGGGGCACGCGATATCCGTCCGCGCCGCAATCCTCGTGGGCCGAGTAGGGACGGAATACACTGCTTCAATGGGTCACATTTCCACTGTCTCTGCTTATGCAACCTTTCTAGCGCATGAAAAGGCTTCATCTGGTGGGTTGGGGTTACATGGATTCGTCAATAGACTTGAAGTTACCCGATTAGGGGAATGATCGTCGCTGACCTGCTTGCCCTTGCATAGAACGGGCGTCTGCGGTGAGGTTCTTTTACAATGGGGACGCTAATAAATCCTGTCATCCTTGGCTTGATGCTTGTGGAGAAGAAGCACTTATTGATTGATCCCATGTACCGTTACCGGCTTCGGGTCGTCTGAACTTGTTATTGGAGGTCACACAACGGGAGGGAACCGGGGGCTCCCGACAGGTTGGCCCTATCAGGATGTCACCCCGGTCCCTGGGCCGATCTGCCTTGGGTCTAATTGCATTAAGGCATATAGAACCGGTCGGGCCCCCCTGCCCACCACGCGCGAATATCGGCTGTCGGTCATCAGAAAGCTGACCATAGACGGTAATATCACCTGCTGCATTTTGGCGTCGGTTCTACTAGTCCATTGTCTCGACTTTTACTACCACATCGCGGGAGATTAAAATGAATCCTACCGGAAAACCGGGAACTCGGCTGTCGACGGTCATCGGCAGTCGCGGGAGCCCCTTTCGATAGTTTGTTCGGTCAACGGCATCCGGTCCCGCTCGAACTGCGCGATTCTCAATCGCCCAATACCTTGTTCCTTGTATGTTGTCTCCTCCTTCCACCTTCACAGTAAAGGTGCTTAGGCCGGCTTTTCTAACTGTCATCGGTGCGGAACCAGCAGTCCTAGTCTCCGTGAGTAACATCTTCAGGGGCAACAGCGTTTCCTTTGAGAACTGCGGTAAGTACACATGTTGACAACTGAGGGTGAACTATTGCTCACTCAACCCAGAAACTCGAATGCAGCCTTGAAGATGGCGTTCGGCTCAAAATCCAGCGTGGTGATGCTCTGGGCGGCTCTGGGATCACTCCTCGTGCTACCCGGGCATGTCGCCGCCCAAGACACTTCACCAGGAGGGGACACCTTTCCGGACACCGCATGGGATTGCAGTGGATGGCATACTGTTGTAACAGGGGATGATTGCTCAACCATCCAGAAGCAATACAACATCACAGCGGACCAGTTTTTCAAATGGAATCCTTCCGTGTCGAAGGACTGCCTCACCAACTTCTGGCTCAAGAACGCTTATTGCGTGAGGGTTGGCGCGCCAGGGCCAACCATGGATGGCATCGCACCCAACTGTAACAAGTGGCACACGGTTGTGGAGGGCGATGATTGTTCGACCATCCAAAAGCAGTACAACATTACCGCAGATCAGTTCTTCACATGGAACCCGGCGGTGTCAAAGGATTGCATCACCAACTTTTGGTTGGAAAGCTCTTACTGTGTGAGTTAACCGATTTTTATTGGGGATGGGGTATTTCCACAACCTCTTGTTTTACTGACTACAAGCAGGTCGGGATCAACAAGGATATCAAGCCCAGCAGTTCTAGCACCCAAGGGTCGACAAAAACCACAACGAGCAGTGCCAGCAGCAGCACTAGGAGCGTGATAAGAACTTCAAGCCCCTATTCGACACGTGTCCCGGTCACCTCATACAGCGAAAGTGCCCCCTACACAGCAACTGCGTTTCCCCCTCAGCACACCCAGCCTGGGCAACCTGCGAACTGTAACAGGTGGCACTGGGCGGCTCCTGGAGAAAGCTGTGAAGGAATTGTAAATCTCTATGGAGCTAGGCTCACGGAGAAACAGCTGTGAGTGACTGACCCGTCCCTGGCGCCGTCTCCACCAGGCTAATACGAGACCACCCGATTCGCAGGCATGAGTACAACCCTACTCTCGGTGAGGATTGCAGCGGGCTGTACTTTGGGTGGTATATCTGCATCGGCGTACAAGCCAAGGGCTCTTCCAGCATCGGCTGGTATACGAGCCAGGATGGCAATGCGTCGATTCCGGAGCCAACCGAGTTTGTCCGCCCCCCTGCGACCTACGTTCAGAACTTTACTGCCCAGCCTCAGCAGTCGGGTATCCCAGCGAGCTGCCAGAACTTTTACCAAGCTGAAAGTGTTAGTCCCCCTAAATAACCCGTAGCTCCCACGACTGGAAGATTGTTAACACGGGCGATAGGGAGACACCTGCAACACCATCCTCGGGATTTACAACTACATCACCAAGGATCAATTCTTCGCGTGGAATCCCGCGCTGTCTAAAAACTGCAATGGTCTTCTCTCTGGCGTCTACTACTGCGTCGCCAACTTTGCGTCCTCTGACCTGCCTTTGCCGCCCACTTTGACGGCCAGCGCGTCGCCCACAGCCACCGGCACAACACAAGACTGCAAAGCGTGGTACCTCGCCGTTGGCAACGACGATTCGCGCGTCCATCGCCCTCTCATTCGGAACCTTCTCCGAGTCAGGTATGCCCCCAAGCACCAACACCCCCCCACCCACCACAGGAGGAACTAGGAAACTAACAAAACAACCCCTCTCCCCCAGACTTCATCTCCTGGAACCCTAGCGTGCGCAGCGACTGCAGCAACCTCCGCCTCGACACCTACTACTGCGTCGCCACCCCCAGCACGCCCACCACGCGCACCGAGCCCGCCCCCACCACGCCCAGCGGGTCCCGGCCCACCCAAAGCGGCCTCACCGCCGACTGCACCCGCTTCTGGCTGGTCTCGCGCGACGACACCTGCGCGTCCATCGCCTCCGCAGCGCGCATCTCCTCCTCGGCCCTGCACGCGTGGAACCCGGCGCTGGGCAACGGCGGCGACGATTGTGCAGGGCTCAAACCCGATTACTATGTCTGTGTGTCGACCGACCCGGTGACCAACGCCCCCGGGTCGACCGTTACCCTGCCGGGGGATGGGAGCGGCCCGACGAGGACGACGACGATGACGAGCAAGCCGCCGGTCAGCTCCGCGTCCGCGACGGCGGGGCCGGGCGAGCCGGTTACCACGCCGTCGCCGGCTATTCCGGGGATGGTGGACGGGTGTGTGAGGTTTTATTTCAGAGGGCCGGAGGCTGCGGATCTGTATTGCTATGATTTGGCGGCGGCGGCGGGTATTTCGCTTGAGTGAGTCATCCGATTTTGTGTTCCTCCCCTTTTCTTTTTGTAGCTTTCTGGTTTGGTGATGATGCGTCAGTCAAATGATGGGTTGGATCGTGGCTGACTGTTGTTACCAGGGACTTTTACGCGTGGAATGCGGGCGTGGGGACGGACTGCGCGGGTCTGTGGGCTGATACATGGTATTGCATTGGGATCTCGGGGTCGCATACTACCATTTCGAGTGGGACGCCAAAGCCGCCTGCTGCTACAGCGTGAGGGAAAGCCGCTGGGTTGGTGGGATGTGACGTCTGAGGGGTGTTGATAGCGGTCTGCTTTTCTATAGTGAGCCGTTGAATAGTAAATCGTCGTACCTCCCGTTGATGCCGTAGTTATTACTGGCATCAAGGTGCTCTGCAAAATGCAGCCCTGGAGAATGTAGAGTCCTATAACCAATTGATATTCTGAGTCTATGTCGTTTGGTCGATACAAGCAATATATGGGGGATATCGGGGGTCAAAAAAGGAGTCTCAGATTATTACAACACGAACATGTGATGAGCAGGAAAACGACAGATATCGATCATTCATTGCTTGGGAGAAGGGCTAGGGGGACGTACTAACCATGGTTGCTTAATATAACTAACTAACTATGATTAGTTAGTTATATCAAATAGTAACTATCTGTTGGAAATCCAACAGCCAGAGTAGCAATACTTCTGAACAGGGCGCGCAACGTAGTGCAAGCAAGGTCACTGATCCGAGGCTTCAATTCGTGATGCAATTGTCTGACAGTCTGATTGATGTAACTGGAAGAAAAGGAGAGCCTCCGTGCCCTTAGAAAACGCTGCATTGGGCCCAGTCTGGTGGGCCCAATAAGCCCCTGTCGTTGACCCGCCGTACCGTATCTTCAGCCACCCGTTTTGTGCAACACAATCTGATTTTTGAGCAGCGCTGGATGCATCTTTCCTGTGATCCCTAACGATGATACGAGGCGCCGTGCCCACTGCTTTGAATTTGTAGATCCCGCTGCAGCCTTCGCACGACCCTTCGTTGATGACCTCGCATGCGAGCCATGGGAAGCCGTCGTAAAGTCGTTCCAGTCCTTCTGTCGGTGTTCCGATAATTTCTGTGTCAGACGACGCCTCGGTTAACGGGAACGCAAAGTAGATCTGCGTATTCATGGTGAAAAAAGGCTGTTGCCCAAAGGTATCGAGATGCTTGTCCATGATAGGTCTCAGTTGGCCGAAGCTAGAGTAAGAGGTATTAGGGAGTAAAAAGCCCACGCATACATTAAGGTACATGTACATACATGTGGGATTCAAATGTTCTCTTGGGCCAAGTTATACCTTGCATTGCCGCCGGCATAAGTCATTCACCACATCCGATTGGGAATCAACCCTCCAAGAAAGTAGAATCTACTTAGGTACTGGAAACCAGCTTGAGGCAGGTACAATAGGTAGTTTCTTCCGGGAATCTGTGATCGCTCATCGCGCGCACTCGCCAATCGGACGCCATGTCTCGGTCTGCCCGTTGGGTCCGAATGTTGCTTGCGGGCTCCATCTTAGCAACCCAACGTCTCTTTCTCCATCTTCAACACCAGACAATACTTGAAATTCTACCATATTTTTTCAGTGTATACAATATCCTGAACCTGGTCAGGCTTCAAATCGAGCAACAGTGATCTCAAAACACACCACCAAAGCTCAATCGTGAGCTTCTTCAAACAAGATGATGCTTTCAATGACAAGAATCTTTTCGAAAAAGATAGTAAGGCTCTCTGGATCGATCCCAGACCTCGAGTAGGGGGCTCACGTTACCCTAGTTGGTTCTTTGGCCGTTCTCAATCCCTTCGAAACCCTCAGTCCGACGAGAAGACGCCGTTAACTTCACCGGCTACGCCAAACACAATTCCGATCCCCTGCCATGACATTAGACTCGGAGACATCCTGATGCTTAAGGACAGCCCCTGCCGGGTCATTCAAATCTTGACAAGCGCCGCAACAGGTCGGTACACATATCGTGGCGTCGATATACTCACCGAGTACATACATGAGGCGACGTCATTTGTGTCCAACCCATCACCGAATGTGGCCGTTCAAACCATGTTGCGCCCGCGTTTGTTCCAGTACCACGCGGTAGTTATAACCCAGAACAGCCTCACATGCATGAATGAGACTGGCGATGTCGTCGTCGAGAACATGCGCGTTATGGATGGAAGCGGACTTTGGACTCGTTTAGCAACAGCATGCGAATGGGACATCGACACTGTGCGAGTTCTAGCCGTGCATTTCCAGAATCACAAAATAGGGGTTGACATGAAGATTGTGCAGAGGTCGAGGCGGTTTGGCGACCGACCTGCTACCGCTGGAACGGCTTCTGCATAGCCCACCTAGGTACTTAGGGAGGCCAGACGATGGAAAGAACGAAATCCAGGTGTTCCAAGCCAAAAATGAGGCACTGCTTGGAGGCATCCTGAGAGAAACCAAGAACGGGTGTGAATAAGCGGGACAGGGAGATTATGGCAGCTTTTCTCGACGTTGTGGACTGTCGTTTCGAATCTGGTATTGGGTTCTTCTTTCTTTTGGACGCCTAGCAAGGTCGCGGTCACATCTGAGAGGCCGCTAGGTTCATAGGACATAGATAGCTTCTTGGATACAAGATGCATAGTCGTCCAGTTGACGTGTGGCAACGGCTCTCTGACAACATGGACTTTTCAGATGTCGCCAGCGATATCGCCAATCTATAGGCGATAAAATTCCGGTCCAGGATTGAGAGTTCCTTTCTATGTTATCTCAGCCTTTTGTTACTGTCTCGCTACATGAGCTCAATGTCCCTGGGTCCTTGAGTCCCAATACTTCAACAAATCTTTGGTACATTCGTTCCACGAGACCGGTCAAGCTGAGCTCCCCCACACCACTACCGGAATTTACCATGGCGAATACACCGTTAAGATGCTTCCGAGCAGTATTGTACTCACCCGCCGTTACCTAAATGATCAACTATCAGCCATAATTCTTAAAGGGCAGCCAGCTCGTCGAGCTGTGAGCTTCAGAAACGCATTACCTCGTCCAGCACGAGGGCAAGAGATTTAGCAACAGTCGTGACGTTGACGGGAGCGGAGGGGTTGCTCATTTCTTGTCGCAGTGTCCGAAGGCATATGTGTTTATACTGCAGCGCCAGTTGTGCAATAACGAGGTTATCGGGCTGGGCCTGCAAAATATGGCGGCATGTACTCAGGAGAACAGCGGCGACCATGAGCGTGTCATCGGCGACGGCGAGGCCAACCCAGTCCCGGAGCAGCTGAGCCCTTTGGTCTCCTGGACGGTTGAATAATCCGCAGTGGCCAACAGTGAATGGTACGATTACGTGGACGTCTATGGCCGAGTGTTATCAGCAAAGGTGGTTGAATGATGAGGGGCGTTGACGGTTGACCTCGACGTGGATCTTCTTCCTGTGCCTCGGAAGGGTCATTGTTATGAAGAAGATGATGATGGTGCTGTACATACAATGATTGAGTAGGAAATATTCCGTCGAAGACAGTGGTCTTGCCAAGGATGAGAACGGGTCTCGGTTACCGTTGAGCATATGGCTTAAACGGGGCCAAGAGGCCGAAACGGCCTCCCCGGGTGCCGTAAAAGCCTCGCCCACTGTAAAGGAAGGGGAAGTGGCTGTAGCCTTCCTATGGCTTTCTATTTGCTTGCGTCGTCTCTGGGCGTGTGCCTGGCGAAAAGCGTGCGAGTAAGCCAACCTCTTGGATTCGGATGAAGGGGCTTCCGTTGGATGCGAGACAACGAATCGGAACTGGCTGGTCATGCTTGAATCCTGACGGGGAGAGTCGAGATGGTTCTTGGCGTTGATGAGGCGGTATTGATTTGGCTGTCCTGCTGTTATTGCGAAGTTGAAAGTTCAAGAATTAATTAATCGCCCCAACATGAGTTTTGGGCCAAGCCGAAGCGCCTCGCATTTGTCAGACGCGGTCCCTGGGTCCCTGGCTAGCCAAGATTAAGGATTGCCGGATTGGGATCTAGCTTGATACGAAGAGGATCTCAGCGACCTCAACCCATACATTTTACCCACAAGAAGTTGAAATCAAATGCCAGCTGCCCCAGTCCGCTCACAAGGCACAAGATGAGAGATTGAAGAGCAGCCACAGTTTGTCAGACGCCCAACCGCGCCAAGACTAAGGATTACCAGATTGGGATATTGCCTTGTGAATTTCAGTGATGTCAAATGTCACAATCTGATGAAGTGCGAATATTATTGACAACAAGGTGATAACGGAACTGGTAAGTTCCTGGTCAAGGGGTTGGGCAGACTGTAAAGTACCTATATAAGGTCTCAAGTCTCTGATCAAAGTCAAATCTCCCCTTCTTACCATCCCCCTTCATCCATCAAGTCCACCAAGCGTCACTCTTCCCATCGTTCAGACCGCCATGTCCTCGCTAACGACCTCCATTCCTCCTGGCTCGTGGGTCTTGGTGACCGGTGCCAGCGGCTTCCTCGCATCGCACATTTCTCTTCAGCTTTTGAAGAGGGGTTTCAAAGTTCGAGGCACAGTTCGGGATCCGGCTCAATCTACGTGGCTTTTGGAAGGGTGCTTCAAGCCGTATGCCGACACCGATGCCATCGAACTTGTCTCTGTCCCTGATATGGGCGTCGACGGCGCCTACGACAAAGCCATCAAAGGGGTCTCGGCTATCATTCACACGGCGTACGTCACCAACATTGTCCCGGACCCAAACGCCGTCATCACCCCCATGATAACCGGAATCCGGTCTATCATGAATGCCGCCATCCGAGAACCTTCGGTCAAGGTGGCCGTGTTTACCAGCAGTGCCGTTTCTGCCTCTCCACTTACAGACGGTGTCGACAACGGCATCGTCGGGCGAGATTCCTGGAATAATGCCGTTCTCGAAGCTGCATGGGCGCCACCTCCGTATGGCCTGTCCCATGCCGTGGCCAACTACCCGGCCAGTAAACTGGCCGCCGAGAAGGAGGTCTGGAAGTTTGCCGAAAGCAATGACCTCCACTTCATCGTCAATGTTGTCGCTCCTGCGGGTCTGATCGGAGAGCCTCTGAACAAGAAACACATTGAAGGGCAGGCGAGTTGGGTGACCCACGCTTACAAGGGTAACAAGCCGGTAATGGACCTTTTCCAAGCCTGTAAGAATTATTCCACCTCGCAATGACTGAACCGCGGCCGAGCTATGATCTGACTCTTGACACAATAGCATTCTACGCAAATGTGAAAGATGTGGCGTTGGTCCATGTCGCCGCCGTCCTGGACCCCGACGTCAAGGGTGCGCGAATCCAATCCTGGGGTCACAGTGTTCATTGGAACGAGGTACTTTCTGTACTGCGCAAACTTCGCCCGGTAAAGACATTCGTCGATGACTACCCTGATCCGCATCATTTGAAGGTATCAGTCGATCAATCAGAAGCTGTAGAGCTCCTAAAGAAGTGGTCCGACAACCCCGACAAAGAGGGATGGACGTCTTTGGAAGATAGCATCTTTGACAGCATCACTAATGACTACCTTGAGGATTGAGATGGGAGGCAACAGTTGTTGTGGCGCAGCCCGCCTCCCTCTCCATAGTTCTAACTGGAGTTAGTGGAATCAAATGTGAAGAGCATAGGTACCCGCATTCCAAACCACACTCGTGCAAACCTCGATGTCATATTCTCAGAGGACAGTAGCCGTAATCATATTGCACACTCCAGCCTCCTAAGAAATCCATCACCCTAAGGATTACGCGCCGGTATCAAAGGATCACCCGTAAAACCCCCCTCTTTGAACCTCTTCAGGCGCCCCTGACACCCACACCACTATCAACAGTCCCAACACCCACTCAACCAATCCTCCTCACAGCCGGCTCCCCGTCCCATTCCATGCCTCCCATCTCCATCCTCTTCCTCAACCCCGAGTCAACCTTGGGCAGATACGGACTGGTAGCCGCATACGCCCGCCACGCATTACAATTCGGTTGCATCTGATCCAGATGCATCAGACTCATGATATCAGCCTTCCTCTCCAGGAACTGCACTCCCAACCCCATAGCCACATGCCAACCAATATGGCAATGCATCAACCAACAACCCGGATTATCCGTGCGAAACGCCATCACCAACCACCCCCCACCGGGCATCTGCTCAACATCCCTCCGAATGGGATTATTAAAATTCAGCTGCCCCACCATCGTCGCCGCATCGAACGTCCCCGCGCCCGTCCCCAACACCAAAAAGTCATGCCCATGCAGGTGAATCGGATGGGGCAGCGCGAACGTATTCTGCACGACCCAAAACGTCCACACATCCGCCGCCGCCACCTCCACCAGGTTCGACGCGCCGGGGTAGCTGGAATTGTTTTCCAGCACGTACTCCAGCGTCGGGTGGTCCCACTCGACGCTGATGGGGGTGTTGCGCACCCGCCACTCAAACACCTGCCCGCGCTCGTTGGTCGGGAACTGCAGGGAGACGGGAAGGGTGGAGGGTTGGAACTGGGAGGCGGGGATGCTGCGCGTGACGATCGGGGAGAAGCCCTTTTCGCCGTTGCAGGTGGCGGTGATGGGCGTGCCGCGGTTGGTGGGCAGGGCGGTGGTGCTGGCGCCGGCGTAGTGGAAGATGGCGGCCGGGAAGGGGTTGCGCGAGTGCCCGCAGTTGTTGTTGCTCTCGAGCGTCGCGTTGAACCAGTAGTTGCCGACGGGTTGGTTGGCTTCGATGATGACGTCGTAGCGCTGGCCGACGCCGAGGAAGAGCGTGCTGCGGGTGACCGGGGTGATGGGGACGAGGTCGGTGGTGATGACTTTGAAGGTGTGTCCGACGAGAGAGACGGTGAAGGAGTTGTCGACGCTGGGGTTGGTGAGGCGGAGGAGGTGCTTTTTGCCGGGGGTGAGGGTGATGCGGTCGTAGGCTCCGCCGGCACCGTTGGGGTTGATGTTCTTGCCGCGGAAGAGTACGTTGTCACTGTCAGGGGGTGGGCCATTGCTGACCAGCTCGGCTTTGAGGTGGAGGCGGTCAGCTGTCTCGTGGTAGTAGTCGCTGATAGTGTAAGGACCGAGGTCGATGTCGTAATCTGCGGACGCCGGCCCCCGTACGACGAGTGAGCCGACGACACCGTTGCCATACTGGTTGGAGTAGTGGCTGTGGTACCACGACGTCCCGTACTGGGTGACGTGGAAGTCGTACGTTTTCATGTGTCCGGGCGGGATGGGGCATTCTGTGACTCCGTTGGCTCCGTCTTGGTTGCTTTCGCCAAACTGACGGATGCCGTGCCAATGAATTGAGGTGCTGGATGTGTTAGTACTGGGATATCGGGGGGATGGAGCGGTTTCTGACGTACCCATTGTCCTGCATGTCATTGTAGACATTGACAACAATGTAGTCACCCCAGTCAGCCTCAATGGTGGGACCAGGAAACTGATCTGGACAATGTCAGTAATACTCTTAGTGCGGGCGAAATGACTGACCATTGATCAGCAGGGCCGGTTTCCGTACCCCGTCCGGCCCTAGCCAGTTTGTCACATTTTTTATGTGAAGGTCAACCTAAGCAGAGTATGCGTTAGATGCACTTATTGCTGTGACAGAGGGGTATACAGAGACATACCACCCGAGTGTTGAATGCCGGAGGAGTAGTTGTCTCATAATCGGTGTTGATGTTCCAGTTGTTTTTCCAACACCGGCGGTTCGTGGCGTTGTTCTGCCCGCACGGCTGGCCGCCAGGTATGATGGTTTGCCTTGGTTGGAGGTCAATGGCCGGGTTCGGCTGGATAGGAGAGCACAAGATGGCCTGGACAAAAAACAACACAGCGCAGCAGGCCGCGACAGGGTTTGGCACAAGCCCGCGCATGGTGAGAAATTGGGGGCTGAAGCTTCAAAATAGGCAGCGCGGATGGAACGAGGTATGAACTGGAGAGAATATTTCAAGGCTACGCGGGTGATTATTGCAGTTTATATCAACGCCATTGTGCCTACCGACTCTACCAGCCGAACCATTCATCCCCTCCTCAACTTCGAACTATCGATAGTCTGCATCTTTCCACGTTCACGTTACTAACACGGCATGATGCAGTGTTCGGTCTGTTTTGGGCGGTTGCCCTCCCTCAATTCCCCCACGAAGAGGGATTCAGCCTGCCGCCGCAGGGCGGGATGAAAGCCAGGGGTGGCTCTCCGTCTCCCCTGACTCCCCCGTCTTGAGTCCTCTCGGACTCTCTCAGTGCGAGTCAGGCTTTTACGTGATGATAGCTTGCCAAATCGAGGCCGCAGTTCGCGATAGATAGTGGATGTCCGGGCCGAGGTGGGCCAGGTGGCACACACTGGGCCGCTTCAACCCCCTGGTCTCGAAAGTTCTATGCACTGATCGACCTATAACCGTGGTTGACAAAGGCGGGCGAGGCGTTCCAAGCCACCATGCAAGCTGAACCAGGTAAAAGGAGGTGTCAAATTTGGTACCATGGATTGTCCACTGCACGAAGATCCCACGAGCTTGCGTGCAGGACGGCTTGGGGAGGGGCGAAGAATGGCCGACATCGCCGACCCGCATCTCGGGACCGTGATGTGCTTGTATGGTTCTTGCGGCAGCATGATCGTACCCTCGTCGATCTACACGAGGCTTTGAGCTGTCGGGCTTCGAACAGCATTCCAAGTACGAGGTGGACATAACACCGAGGATTCATCTTGATGCACTACGGAAACCCAAGCCCGTCCACAATCTGAAACATACTATCGATGCCCTTGCATACTAGGAAGTTATTAAGGCAAGGCAACATAATTCCCCACTTTGTTAGTACGTTGAAGTTGTCGTAAAACAAGTGCCGGTGATGATGTACCGAGCTGAGGGGATGGATCATGTTCGCAAAGCCTACCTGTAGGTACGGTGTACCTCCCTATTTTTAGTACGTCACACCCACCGGGTCCAGTCCCGGGCTCCGACTGACGTTCAATTGTGAATGGCCTCCACAGCCATCCGTATTCGTTCTGCATTCCCACTCCATAGCAAAACCCGAGAGGGCCTCGCACTCCCGGGCGGGTGTCACGGCGGACAAGTCATGTTTCAAGCTGAGTCGCTTACGACTGTGCAACGCGGGCAGACACGGGAGGATATTAATCGACACGCCTACTGCAACCCAGTAGCAGCCCTAGGTCCGGTATTGGGAAGGTGTGAGCCCTGCAAATACCGTGCGTCGTGTCAAGGCCCCTCGCTTGCGTAACTCGCCCCGAGTCTACCTCCTGAATTGCCGAAGCTAGCAGGTTTCCCAAAGACTCGGCACCGAGACACCGGGTCTCGCACTTGCTTCATCATGATCTATTGTTAACTAGTGAAGGCGCGAACAATGCACGGATGGGGGCGAAAGTGCAACGAAGGCTTGTGATAGGGGGTTGGGGATTTACCCGTCTGCAGCCACGAACGGCACGATTTAACCGGGACGTGAAGGAGTTGCGACGAACGGCTGTCAGGAAAAGCCTCGGAAGCCAGATGTGACGCGCCTCGTCTGTTGACTGTGAGAAATCGGGGTTGTCTGCTGATCCGTCGGGCAAGGAAACACCGTGCTTACCCAGTGGCGGCCCTCAAACCATTGCATCCACCATTGCCCGGCGAGGGAGAGCAGCGTGGGAAAGTGGTTTTTTTGGCGTCGAATCGAGGGCATGTATCCGTAAATATCACTTGGACCCGAGAACCAGGTTGAGAAATGTGGAGGTAATGAAGGTAAATTGCACGATATTGGCAACCACAAGAAACCAAGGCGGGATACAGCCCTATGGTGAGTGTTTCCATTCAAATCCCTGGCGCTAGGAGATGAGGCTTTTACGACAAAGAGGTAGTACAATTACGACTTGAGACCGTGAAGAAGTCTGGGTTTATCTGACAGCAATATTACGCCCGCTAGCATAAAGCCCCCCTCCATAGCAATACATTATTATTATATCGTACTACACAAACGTACCTCGGTAAAAACAGAAAACTTGAAACCCAACTTGCAGAATAGGTATCAAGTAAACCTGCTGGTGGTCTGACGACGAACTCCGGCAGGGTTTTGAAATTACCACCGCCTACCCCACGTCCTTTCATCAAATTTGCACCATGGTAGCGGTGGCCTACTGCGGTCTGGCTGCTCGGCAACCTTGAAAATCTCAATAGGATGAGCTCGGGAACCAAATAATTTGGCAGATAAAAGACGCCCTTTGCCGCCAACCCAGTGGGATCAAAATCGAGATAGCCAACATGCTCGTTGCGGGGTATTCGTCAACCTCACAGCAGGCAAACTGTAAATACACGCGATTGGGGCGTAGTTACTCCTCAGGCTGGTTCGGAGCATCCGCCCTCTGTCGCTTCAAGGCTCTAGCGGCCTGAAACCCGTATGGCTCGGGGATTTCCCCCCGTGTGCGCTTAGTTCCTCTCGAACTATCCTCGGAAAAAGAGAAGCTGCTAAAGCCGGCAAGAATAGGTGGGCGAGAGAATCCAGCTTCGTCGTCCAAGTCATTCTCGTCCAAGTCATCATCGTGCTCATTTTTGGGCTGTGCATCCCTAAGACGCGCGACAGCACTCTTTGACATACCGAGAAGCATGACCCCTTCAAGCCGGCCGAGAAAGTACGAAGCCTTAATACCATGGGGACTGTCAGGATGAGAGACATCGATTCTCATGACCTCACTGTCGCTGTATGGGTCGCTGTAATCTTCTTTCTCCTCTGATTTTTCAATGCCACCGCATACGGTAAGACCCAGGCAGGTGCTGGAGGTCGATAGGGTCGGTGCTTCCTTGTTGTTTGGCTAAGAGGTCATAATACCCCTTACACCGGCGTTCCCATCTCGCTTTTTTCTCGGCCTCCTTCTTCTCCAGTCTCGCCCTTTCTTCGGCTTCCTCTTGTTCTTTTTCTTGCCTTACGGTTTCTTCCATGGAGGCTATCTCGGCATCCACTTTATCTTCATCCCGCCCGATGACGGCAGTTTTGTGGTGCCGCTTCATGTGCAGGCCAGGGGCTTTGGCAATGATTTCTTGGGCGAGATTCTGACTTTTGAAGGCCAAATTCGTCAAATACCACGGGATCGGACGACTTAGTGACTGTTGTAATAATACTGACATCGAGGTTGAGAGCAAGGTGCTTGCGCAAGAATAGCTGCAAGTCTACATTGGCCTGGGCGCTGTGGATGTCGAACTTTCTGCTGAAGAATGTTTCGAGCCTCGAGAACTCAGCCTCAATGTCCTGCTTCATGGCCAAAGCCCAGCCAACAAGCACAGTGCTCCAAGTCTTGCGAATTGCAAGTCCGGGGACAGAAGCAACCACTCTGTCGAGCTCCATTTTGTTGGTGGAGGATTTGAAGGAAAGCGGAATTTTGGTTTTCTTTCTGTCCGGCCGACCGTGAGCATCAAGAAAGTATGTTGCGACGAAACGTGGCGGATCAGCGTTCGCCTCCTCTCCATTCCCCCCTTCGATCTCAGCGAATATCTTGTCGTCAAGGCGTTTGCAGGCAGCGTCATATTCTGTACGAAGACGATCACGCACAGCAGCAACCGCGGGTGCTAGTTCTTCACACTATCTCTCGTCAACCACCAGGGTCCCAAAAATGTTTCCGGTAAGATTGCAATTCAGCGCACCTTCCCAGCAAGAACGGCTATCGTTAAAGCCGCCTTCAGATCCGATTTCGTGGAGGACCTTTTGAATGACACGCCGTAAAGATGCGACTGCGTGGCGAACCACTTGTTGCTAGGCTCCTTTAGCTAGGACCGGCCGAGGAGAAGCCGCCGCAACTCGTGTGGCTGGGCCTGGGGGATGCCGTCCATACTGAAAATGTCCGTGTCCTCATCCTCGAAACCTTCTTCCGAATCATCGTCGAAACGGGTGTGGGGTGTGGTAATTGAAGTCTGAATTATGGCCGTAACTGAAAGGAGGGCAGTTGACCGGAGAAGGAGTTATCACCTCCTCGTCGGCATACTGCCATCGGTAGTGTCGTTGAGGCATGCTGTCAACCAAGGCGAGTTATCAGGTGCCAGGCAGCTTTGCTTCGTTTGTTTGGAAGAAATTTGAGACCGAAACCTTTCACCCAGTTTTGGCACGCTCGAACGGGAAACGAGGTCCAAACTCTGCTACTGTGATTGGCCTTCGCTTTCAGGGTCTTGCCCACACCAATTTCTTAACTCCTGTCCCCCACGTGGGGAACCGACTCCCGAGATTGAACATCGAAAGCCCAGCGGCCGATTTGCAAGCGTGCCTGGTAGTTAGTCGTTCGTACAAATACCTGGCACATTACCGTTTAGGTAACGTTAGGTCGTTAACGGGCGTGATCACACATACCGACCATGGAAAGATGACTTCTTTTCTCGCCCGATACCGGAATAAAATCGAGCCAATTTCTGTCGTCAAAACTTACATTTCAAGTCATCATCGGCCGCGTGACTCAGCCCGGGCCGCGCGACATCAAAAATGGCCAACACAGGATGCCGCACTGCGCCGCAACTGGCAACCACCAACTCTGTCTGAAACCTTTCAAATACCCCGGACCCAAAGCCACTTTTCTCTCAACATTGCTTCCTTCTCTAGTTCCACATTACCAAGAAACACAACAGCAAAAACAACAACCTCCACCATGGCCGACACACCGCAAACCAATTCCCAATCCGCACCATCCACCTCACCACCACCACCCAGCCCCCACCCCCCATTCCCCGCCCTCCGCTCCATCGCCAAGTTCAAAGCCCGCTCCCACGCCACCTCCAAAGACATACACATCCCCCTCCTCCACCAAATCCAATCCCAACCCCCCGCCAATGACAACAACAACCCCTACCCCTCCCCCACGCCCACACCAAAAAAAAGCCCCACCGACGTCCCTCGGTGACTACCAAACCGGAATCCCGGCGTATGCCACGCGCCGGGTCTATATGGGACACAGGAACGGAGATCGGTGTCTTGCCCCGACGTTTTTTTTTTCTGGCTCCAAGATAGAAACCATCATCGTAAAATAACCTAAAACGCGTATTTCACGGGATATAGACGTCGCGGTTGCCGGTGAGGGTGTGGGTGGTGCAGGTGGGGACGAATAATTTGACGGTGAAGACGGGGTTGGGGGAGAGGGATGTTGATGCGTGGGAGGTGTTGGTGGAGACGTTGTTGGGGGTGAATCCGACGGGCGGGGAGTGTAAGGTGTTGGTGACGGGGTTGTTTTATCGGAAGGATGTTTCGGGGGAGTTGGTGGATCAGGCGAATGGGAAGATTAGGGCGGTGGTGAAGCGGTTGCAGGAGAAGTACGGCGCGGACAGGGTGGTGTGCCTTGCACCTGCTGCGGGGGTTAAGACGGAGGAGCATCTGGTGGATCATGTGCACTTGAACTTGGAGGGCTATCAGCTGTGGATGGCGGAGCTGTTTCCCGCCGTCAATGCTCTCTTGGGCTAGGTGGCAGGGAACGTGGAAAGGTGACCGGAATAATTAAGTCAACAAATAAGAACAACCTTCACAGAAAGAACCTCAGAGTTCGTAAGGCTTTAACATAGGTATCTAAATACGCAACTGAGAAGCGCCGGGGATGAGGCTTCCCCGGTAGATCGGGGATCGCTCACACATCAAGTCTACACTGAACCTCCGTTCCTTGCAACATCAAGATGGCGTCAGAACCCAACATTACATGTACGCCAACATAGAGTACCTACATTCTACTTGCCTCCCCATTTCTGTTATCACTGTGAGTGCAAAATAAACGAGCCTTCGCGGCCAGCTTTCCCCGTAGCATCGCGTAGTTAACCCCCAACGTCAAGAATCGCCCGGCCATCACCCCGACCTCGAACCCAATATCAGGTTGATAATTGGAAGGTGACCCCAAAGTATTATGCGGCGCAAGTACCAAGTATTTCAGAGGCTGTATCCTAGTTCAAGCTATCACAGATCTGGATGTGACGAAATACAAAGAACCCCTGCATGGCAGAGTCAAGTCACACAGGGGGTTGTTGGCAGATACCGAGGCAGGGTGCAGGTAGCCGAGGGTAGGGGGGCAAGGGGTAGTCGGATAGGTGCATAAACTCTAAAATGACTTCATCCGACTCCCAGCTCGAGGTTTAGTTGCCCTGGCAACAGTCCGTTCTCGGTCCAAAGAGACCCTCGGGATGTGCAAAGCCCAGGGTTAGGAGCTGTGTTCCCCCGAGGACGACCGACGATCTTGACGATCCAGGGGGGCAAAGGACCCATAATATTTCATCATCAGATCCACCTTCCAGGACTATGTACATCATAGCTGTGCGGCTCTGCCTTGTATAAGTGGTATCAATTTCTCACCGGGCGCCATGATGTTGATGACCATGGATATTACCATCTCAGGCCTCGCCGTCCTAAAATACCATCATCACAACGCCATGGCCTCCCCAAGCAACCCAGGCATCCGCACCCGGTTACTCATCATCGCAGACACCCATGGCATGCACTACCTCCCAGACACCAAGCCCCTGCAACCCATCGACGTAGTCATCCACTGCGGCGATCTCACCAACGACTCCCAACTCTCAGAATACAAAACGGCCCTCCACCTGCTCAGCCGCATCGACGCCCCCCCTCAAGCTCCTCATCCCCGGCAACCACGACTACACCCTCGACACCCCCCAACCTACCAGCACCTTCTCGACCACCACCAACACCAACACCAACAAGAACAATCACTCCACGGCCGCCCCGGCGCCACCCACCGCCTCTTCACCACCGCCCAGCACACCCACAACATCCACTGCCTCTCCCAAGGCACCCACCACTTCCCGCTCGCCAACGGCGCGCACCTCTCGCTGTACGCGTCGCCCTATACGCCCGCGTTTGGCGGCGCGCCGGGGTTCCAGATTTTTCCCCCGGGAGGAAGGGCATGACTTTGATATCCCCTGCGGGGGAGCAGACGGGGGTGGGGGTGTGGATGTGGTGATCACGCATGGCCCGCCGCGCGGGGTGCGCGACCGCAGCTGGGCTTCTGGCGGGCGGCATGTTGGGTCGGCGGAGCTGTTTGCGGCGGTTGCGCGGGCGCGGCCGAGGCTGCATTGTTTTGGGCATATTCATGAGGGGTGGGGGGCGGAGGTGGTGCGGTGGGCGGGGACGGCTGGTGCCGCCCGTGAAGGGGGTGGGGGGTCCCCCGGCAGGCAGCATGGGTCGGCGGTGCTGGCGGATTTGGGGTCGGTGTTGCCGTTGAAGGGGGATGGGGCGGAGGTGGTGAGAGCGAAGGAGCGGAGGTTGGGCGAGTATGCGTGGGGGAAGTGCGTCAAGACGAGTCATTGTGCGGGGGATTCGCTGCCTGTGGTTAAGAGTGTGAGTACATTGTTCGTGAATGCGGCTGTGGCTGGGCAGCCGGTTAAGCCGCCATGGGTGGTGGATATCGCGC